ATATAGGAGGCAGGGGCAGGACCAGTTCTATGTAAATGCTTTCGAATTACTCTGCTCCCAGGGTATCACAGCAGGGGTGCAAGAGGGAGAGGAACAAGAATCAAAGTACACAGTGCTGAGCTTCAGAGATAGCCCACTCATAACGCCAGGGACAGAGACAAGTCAGAAATATCTATGTGCTAAGCACTATGTCGGATGGATTCAGCACAACTAAAGGACACAGCATGGATGTGCTGATGGTGCTCCACAAGACCTACTCTGAGTTTAACAGTCTGAGCAGTAAGATGTGGTGGAGTTAGTAGAAACTGCAGCATGCAGACATTTCGAGTGCCGCCATCTAGGTTGAACTCTGCATGAAGGTGCACTTCTGCAAACTCAGGTTGGCCCTACAAGTCATGCAGTCATGCATCTTGTGTGTGCCTCAGAGATCTGATAGACTTAGAAGACCTGTATGAAATCAATATTATTTTGACTGCGCTGAGCAAAGGTACATCACCACATGAAAATGAAATATAAAATGCACGCTTGTAATTAAATGCATAATAGATTTTGCCAAATCTCATTTATTTGTCAGTATATTAAAAATAATTGATATGGGGCAGGAGCAACAACAAAATCCCCTCTATTCTTCTGGATCCATTCAACTACCTCAACTACCTATTTAAAAAGCAATTTAAGGTTTTATTTACCATCCCCACTGGAAGAGTCTTGGAAGAAAAACCAAACAAGTTTCTCCAAAACACTCAAATACAAGAGGCAAAAAAATGCACAACCGTTAAATAGTCACAATTCAAAGTCAGTCTTAGGATATTTTTAGGATGTGCTAGTTTTTGAAGCCTAAAGTGGCAATCCTGCCTTTACTCCTTTGAGCTACCTTTTGCATTGCAGTGCTTTTTAAACACTGCCTTTTCCTGCTCTTAAAACCAATTCTTTACTTGAATGGAAATTAAATACATGCTCTAAAATATTTTCTGCTGATGCAGTATTGTTGCATATAATTTTAATGACTGAACCTTCAGACAGACTGTTTCCCATCTTCATACAGCTACCTTCAACAAACATTTCACTCCTGGTATTGAGTGCAATGACTGCAGTCAACCAAACATGCAGAAAAATAGTTCAGCCGGGTATGTGTTCTTTACTTCAATTAAACTCACACAGTTGGATGCCTACTGTTGCCAAACCGGTAATATAATTTATACATTATAGTCCAAACAGTAAAACTACACTAAAAGTCATTTAACAATATTTATAACACCATAAAATACAGTGTTAAAATATATGAACTGCAATATGTACCAAAATTATAAAATTTGTTTCTCATCATCAGTGATTAAAACCAGGATCATTGCTCTAGCTTCAATACTCATAACCCTGGTGACAGATTAGAATTCAAATCTTAATGATCAATTTACAATTAACAAGATAGAAGTGAAACAAATTAAACCAACCATTATATATAACGAGACCCAATGGACTCCCATTGTTCCCCTTAATTACAAAACGCAAATCACAAATACACAGTGGGTAGTGTTGAGCATTAATCTACAACCTAGAAATTCAGACAGTGACAATCAGAGGAAAAGAAAAAGAATAAAACAAGAGAAGAAATCAACAAAGGACTATATTTTTAAACATGCCTATGTACACGAAAATCGTAACAGACACTATCTTCTTTCTGCACAGCTTGAGGGGTTTATAATTCGTCTGACATTGTCTTTCTGAAACATTTCTGTATAGGGACTAGCTCACAAGAATCGTTCCAGCTTACAAATAAACACATAAACTTCAGTTTAGATTTCTCACAAAACTCACATTAAATATAAAAATACATGTGCCATTCGGATGCATCCCACCGAAATTGTGCAAATACGCAGTTGTCACAGATAGTTTTGAAATGTCTCTTATTACAAATGGGCACTTCCCATCAAAAGCAAAAGTATTCAAATAAAACTTATTATTACATCTGTTATTAAAAGAGTTTGAGTGTTTCACCAATTAAATAATGGTACTGGTAGTATACCAGTTATTTCTTAAACCCACGGAAACTAAGGCACAAAGATTCTACAAGTATAGCAAGAAAATACACATCCAGGTCCAAAATTCAGTTTATGGTAAGGTCAAAAATATGTAAAAACCCAAAAATGGAAAATATATTTTCTATGCAAATTGGGCACACTGCTGCTTCGTGATCTGCTTTTATTAATATACTTAAGAAATAAGTTATAAAATCTTCCCCAAATTACTATTTTTTTTTCAGAAGACAAACCTACAGCATTCTGTCCCAGAATTGTAGTTTTACACTATATGCAGTGACAATGAGAACAAAGATTGCCTTTTGGAGAGGTGCTACTGAAAGATACATGCTGATCACGCACTTAAAACTTGGCCAAAGTAATTTTCTGCACCTGATCATATCACTCTCTGCAGTCATCTGTATTAGACTCACTTCCCACCATCTCCAGTTCTACCTTTCGCTTCTCATTTTTACATTCTTTCTTCGTCCCTACCCATTTCTCCATTCTTGTTACTGACTGCAGCAGCTCCAGCTCCAATGAAGGCAAGTTCAAGCTATTTTAGGGCCACTTCTCAGAACGACTTTCATGTATTCTTCCTTACAGTTTCTTGTGTAAAATATACCACTTTCTGGAGATGCAAGAGGGCTCCTTTTCCCTTTTTCAGGTTCCTGACATAGTCAGCTAATGCTGCTAGGTGGAGAAACACTTGGCAATCTCTAGTATTTATTTTCAGAGAATAATGTGTTTTCACAGTATGTTTTCTGTCTTTCCTTCATCCTTTACAGTTACTAGTCTGTGACTGTGAGCTCTAGCAACAAAGTCTGTGTGCATTTTTATTGCTGGAATAATAATATGATTTGAATCTATTTAGATTTTGCATTACTTTAGCAGAAGAGCTCTGCTTTTTCAGAAGAAAAATTCTGTTTTCTTCTCTCTCAAGTACCCATCACAACATTTGCAAGGGAAGACTGCCTACAGTTCAGCAAGTTTCTCATTTCTTCCCCAAACACTCTGGATGGGATTCATCTCCCAGCTTCAGCCACTTAAAGGGCCACTGCTTAAAGGGCATGTATTACATTGATATGATGTGTAATACCTGGAACAAAATGAATAATAATAAATATTAAAATACAAATAAAAAAAATAATGTCCTAGTAATAAAAGGGGCAACTTAAGAAAAATATACTAACCTGTATTTTTCTGACATTTGTTCCAACTTCCTTGCCAACATACAACATTCTTCCTTCAATTTTGCTATGAATGTATTCTGGGAAGTCAGCAATGAATCCAGTTCTTCTACTAAAAATCATAAAATTATGAAACTATGAAGTTCCTTTCTAATTATATATATTTACAGATAATTTAGAAACAATTTTATATATTCGTAATTTCTTTCTTCTAGATCCTTCTAGTTTTGAAATGTTTTTTAAACTTCAGCTACTTGGGTATGGAATCAAGACACCATCATTTACCAAATTAAAGCTCTATGTCATAATTAGCTAAAGTGTTAAAGCAATGTTGCCACTGAATCTGGTCTTGTAAGAGAAGAGTCACCATGAAGACTAGATATCTAATCTGGTAATTTTGCCTTTTAGCTAGAAGCTAATTGACATTTCCAGGAGGAATAAAATTGGCAAGCAATGCTTTAGCAGACTTTTGCTTGCTCTACTGGTGCAGAGGATACACTGACAACCCAAACTCATTTGAGTCTACAACTGTAGACTTATTCAGTATCTCCTTAAAAAAGCAGTTCTTTTATTTATCAGGTCTTGAGCTTATTATAATTAACGTAATTTCTTTTTCTTAAATGATAAGATATAGACTTATTCTCCAGTGACAGCTGGAGTGAAACCATTTTATAAATTAATTTTTAGTTACTGTGAGTTTGGGCTGCACCAAAACTCATGACCTAGCATTCAGGCATCTTTATTCTTTCAAAAGGAAGATGCTACAAAATGATGTTTCTTCAGTTTTGCTTTTAAAATTGGAGAAAGCGAGACTATTCTTAACCAAATTCCTTGTATGTGTGGAGGGTCATAATAACCAAAGGATTCTTTATACACATAATAAATGACTATAATTTTCAACTCCTTCTAATCCTACTAGAGATATAAAAAACCAAACCCAGATATAATGTTGTTTCATTTTTGTATACTGGGACAATTCATGCACCAGGAGGGTAAATTACATCTCTCTTGTGCAAAATTACACACGGTCATATGCAGATGTGCTGGTTAAAGGAGGGAAAGATGATTCTGAGAGCTCCTTTTCTTTTCTTACAGTGTAGACAGCAGCCATAATGAAGCTGTTTGCATTCCCTGAACACATGGAAAAGTCCTCTAGTACTGTGATAATGCTGAAAAAAAGGCATAAAATCAGACAGCAGATATAAAAATGCCTGCTCCTCAGGTATTATCCAATGCTGCTTAGGATTAATATGTTACATGGTTTTCCTAAAGGCATTGCAGGACTGATGCGTACAAATGATACTTTATTAAACACATGAATATATCATGTTCCATAAGAGCTGAAGCTCCTCCTTCTTTCTATGCTCAGGGGTTAGAGATTTCCTCTCTAAAAAGTCCCTTTTTAAAAAATTTTTGTTTTGTTTTATTTATAATATTTACTTTTATTAATGTTGTTGGCATAGTACTTTGCAATAACAAAAGGCTTTTTTTTTGTTTGTTTGGAAAACCCCTTTTTATTTCCAGATTAAAGTTAGAAGTTATTGATCGGCTAAGTCAATGCAATGAAGTCTCCTATTATGAGAACCTGAAGTATGCAAGGGATTAAACATCCTTCTTCTAGATTGAGGATGGGGGGGGGCACATGGTAATGCTAAAAATGTTTGAGGCTGCAAAGATTAAATAAAGGAACATATCAATTTGGAGCCAGTGAATTACATCCAGCTGCGACAGTGAATTAAGAACCGATTAATGGCTAAAGCTTTTCTCCAGTTTGGATGCCGAAGCAAACTCATTAAGCTTTTAGAGTAGCTATAATGTGTGTACTGTGGGAACTGTTCAATGCTATTCAGGAGACTTTAACTGTAAGCTCAGAGCATTTCCCGCAGAGCTTCTGATGCTATTTTCTTTATATAACATGTGTGCCTGAAAATCCAGCCAAAAACAAGCCCTTTGTTTTTCTACTTTGTTGTGGTCTCTCTCAGCTTTACGTTTCTTGAACACAGGTAAATAAACTCATAATCCAGATGGTGCAACAGATGTGAGAGCAGCACTCTGAAATCAACAGACAGTGGGCAATACTTTCCATTTTCTCTTTTAAACGCTAACTAATATGTAATTCGGAATCTCCGGTGTAGTTAGCATCTGCTCCCTTCGGCCAGCCAAAGGTTACAGGTGTTCCTGATGTCATTTCACAGTAAGGCGTGGGCCTGGCTTGTGAGTGAGTGCCCAGGCTCTAATCTTTCCCTACCACCTACCAGTTTTCTCATGCTGGGCCTCCATTTGCTGCATCTTCTGTGTCAGCTCCTGCTCTCTTTGCTGGGCCTGAAGGGCTCGGGCCTTTGCTTCATTGCTAATGCTGTGCTGAATGCTCTCTTTCTCCAATCTATAAAAAAAAACCAAATAGGAAATAAATAAAAATAAAAATCATATACTGAAGATGATAAATTAAAAAGGTAAACAGAACATTCAAATAATAATAACAAAAAATCTGGCCAAGCTTTTCACATCAAACATTCTCCTCCCACTTCAGGTGATACAAACTGACCTTTCTCTTACAATGTCAAACATTCTCCAGTGACTACTAGAAAACGGATAAAAAATATGATCTATTTCCGAGAGAAAATTGGCCTTGCAGACAAAAATAGGATTTTATTTTTAAAAATTTTAAATGTGACCTCTTTTTCATATGGAAGCTTACCAACATTCACTTTGCATTGAACATATTATTTGTATTTTTCTTTTAAATGCTATTTGTTTAATTCTGTAATGAAGCTTAGGGACCTGACCCCGAGATGGACTGCTTCCCAGTGAACCAGCAGGAGATAAGTCAATGGGAGCGATTGCCACAGTGCTCATAATACAGCTACTCTGAAAGCTTAATGAGTTTTCTTAAGCAACCAAACAAGTTTTAACTATTAATTTATGTAAATAGGAGATGAATGCATCCATTACAATAGAGAAGACTGCTAGCACCACATAGGCCCAGCCTCTTGTGGTTCTGCTCACTGGGGGGTTGTATAGGAAGGTCTAAAGCCCGGTATTATTATTGAAGTACGCAGGCAAGAGAGCAATTTACTTGACCAGATATGCAAGATGGGGCAATTTACTCCTGAGGCAAAACAAATGCTAGACTACCACACTCCATTGAAGCATTTTATTTAATGCAAGCCAAGCAAAAACAGCATGGAAAATAAAACCCCAAAAAGATATATGCATATAAATTAGAAAAGGTCCTAAACTGCAAATTCATACCTAGACTTTCCCAAAGGTCGTGAATATTTATCTGATGCACATTGGGATCCAGGTTCAAAATGTCAGTGAGTTCACACATACAAGGATTGATTTCTAGATTTCAAATGACACGTAAGCACACATCTTTCTACTGAAACAACATTTAATAGCTTGGGATAGGTTTCAATAAAATCTTATAAACATGTTTTATTCTAGGGATAATACCTATTTCAGAGGACTCCAAAACAGAACACAGGCATAGATCATGTAAGGATAAAGCCACATCTCATGTGGTTGCTGCACTTAACCTTTGGATTGGTGCCTAATAACCCATCCGAGATATTGCAATATCTCAGCATGACACACACAATGTTAAATTTTCTCTCTCAAATTTACCCCAAAGCAATACAAATGGTGGGTCACATTACACTAATTCCTGGTCCTGATGTTGCAAGCCCTACCTTAGGCAAAACTCCCTTGGAAATCACAGGCAGTTTCTTCTGAGGTAAGACAGAGAATACATTTATATTGCAAGAATATTAGAGCATTAAGGAAACAAAGCACATTTTTAAAGGAAATTTCATACATTGAATTGCACTTTATCACATCACTCTCAGCATTACTTCACAACCATATTGTGGCTATCCTAAGGAGCAATGCTCACATCATTTCCTAAGTGTAAGTTCCAAATATGGAAAGCATTACTAGGAAAATTTTTTCCATATTTGCTGGAAACCAGTCTATGCAAACTCCTTCCCTTTTACAAACATTTTTTACCTTCAAACAGTTGCAATGAGCAACAGACTGCTCAAAAAAACCCAAACAAACAAATAAAAAACCCCAACACCAGCACTTCACACATCCCCCCAACGCTTTCAGCTAAAGAAAATGTCAGTATTACAGTATTTTATTTAATAGTGTCTCATGTGAGATGGCTGTGTACAGTTGGGTGCTGTGCTTCATCTGGCACACGGCTGGCTGGTTAGCATTCTGCTGGGGGTAGCCTTCAGCATGTATCAAGCTGCACAGCTGAAGCCACCAAAACAAGCCTGTAGAGGTCCATTCTTCATTGCTAAGGTCCCTTCTGACAAACACATGCTGATGTTCACGTTCAAAATAAACGGACAATCTAATGCCACCAGAAACACTCTCTTGTTAAGGGGACCCATCCAAAAGAGCCATTCACCTGATTTACTTACTGTATAGAGCAAACTTTCAAGAGCTCAGAAATAACAGACGTGTGGTGAGTTCCCTACAGCTGAAATGTATATGGAGTGGTTGAAGATGAGTTTATACAGTGGGTCAAAGCTCAATTGTAAGACTAGGAGAACACATGTAATTGTTACACAGAAGGGGAGCTTCTTAGAACCTAGAAAATTATGGGATTAAAACACCTCCAGTGCCACATAAAGAACAATATCTGAGGTGCCTAGAGCTGCTGAGGAATGAAAAAAATTCCTGGAGCCAAAGCTGTCTAAACAGAGTCGCAAGTCTTTCACCCACACCTTGAGTTGGCACCTTCCCTGCTCTCTAAATTCAATCTCTCTGCCCCCCCTACTGAAAATTTCCCCCACACATATACAGAGAAATAAGAAAATAAGGAAAAAAAAGTATAAAACATGCAGAAGGCAACCTAAGAGATTTCAGGATCTATTGGTATTCCTGCTATGACCAGCAAATACTGCAGGAGTTTTAGAAGGTCTGACACTGATTATTTGCAATTACTCTGAATTATGAAAAAAGGGGTGCTTGATTTAAGAAGAAGAAAGTCTATAGACTGTATACAGAAGGAAACAGTCCTTAGTCTCTCCAGCATTAGTGTGAAGATTTAAGAAGTCTCCTCTTACAAAGACTTCAGAATTTCTAAATATTCACTAAAGGAAAGCACAGACACATGTAAAGAGAAGCCACAACAGACTAATTTGATGACACAGGTAAGATCTGAATCAGAAATGTCAACTAAAGATTAATTATTCCAGAACTCTTTAAAACTTCATCTACAGAGATCAAAAACGGGGGAAAGAGTGGTTAAAGTGCAACAGCCTGTTCTATACTCAAATGCAAACACTGACTCAAAACTGGAGACAGCAGCAACAGTTACTGTTCTTTCAAACAGCACTCTTTGCAAAACACTAAGCAAATGTCCATCTGATAATAAGTCTGCATTTGGTTGTAACATTGATCAGTTTTACTAAAGCAGAAGCATTGAACTCATGGTGACTTTCATTTTTGTGCCATTGAAGTCAGAAGCAACCATTGAGACAAGCTCAAGCTCTTCCCGAGCCCTGTTCTGAAGCACGTTTTCCACGGTGATTTTAGTTCTAAACGTTGACTGTTTTGAGCGTGTGTTATCGCTGCAAAGAGCCATAGGTAACTTAAGTTAACTCATATCTCAATGAACTGGATATTGGTTTGCAGTGCTTGAAAGCTACGCTTTCTACATGTTCTTGACAAAACAAAAAGCACCGTAAACTGTAGCTTATAGCACAGGAAGAATAATATTGCCATCACTGGCAAACCTTAAAAGAATCCTTGCTAAAAATGAAGTGAAAATTCACTTCGACCTCAAAGTTAACATAAAAGTATGTGGTTGAATTTGACCCACCAAATTTAATAAAAACAAACATGTACATAAAAACTCCAAACCCCAAAACACCTTTCCCACCACTAACAAAGAAAAACTGGATCACAGATCCATTTTCAATAGAAGACTACTCTCCACCAAATGGCTTTGCAGTAAAGAAAAATGAAGGATGTAAAGACTACTGATATAAAAGTCATATTTGACATAAATAATAGCTTGTCTATTTTTGACTGTAAAGGAAAAGAATTTAGATTGATAGAACTTTGACTTTCACAACAGAGTTCAACAGTAGGTATTTTTGAAAGTCTTTTCAGTTTGGTAACTGTAAAAACACAAAAAGAAAAACTACAGGATGGTTCTCGATGTAGAATTAGGCATCTGACTGGAGGCTGTCAGTAAGTCTTCTGACAAAGCAACTATGATTTGAAGCAATCATGCTTACTATAGTGACTATTTGATTTTTCCATGAGATCAACATGTGTCATTTTGTAAAAAGTTAATGGATCCATTAGTAAGGACTATGAACTTAATTGGACAAATTAAAATACTCTAGTAATTAGCTCAGTGACACACAAGAGGTTATCATAACATTATTTTTGACATCTTCGGTTCATATTAATTATAGTTAAAAATGTAACTATAAAAAATTTCAGCTTTCAGATATACTTGCTTTATACTGAACTTCATCGTTCATTAAGGAGTAGTTAGCATTTAGTCTTCCAAATGTTTGAGCTATCTGAACTAACAAGACTGTTGTCTAAATGATGACCAGTCCCGGAACTCTGTACCAACACTCATTCTTGGGCAGCAAGAGGACCAGTCAAGCCGAACACTGGTGCTTCTACCACATGCCTCAGTGGTCGAGCACAGACCTCTTTCCTAGATAACACAGAGCCAAGTGGGCCAGCACTGTGAGCGAGTGCACAACAAATCACCTCAGAAGAGGGAAAGAACTTGGCTGAAGGTTCCCTCAGCTCTTTCAGAGGAAATGAGCTTTTTCTCCCAGTATTTTTGAAAATAAATGTATGCAAAAGCTTTTCTACCAAATTAAAAAAGTTTTGAGGAGTTACTCAAGCATTTTATTCCCAGTATCTTTAATAAAATCTGGCACGAAGGCACTCAAATCAACTAAAGCACTATTGAAAGTAGGACTTGAAAGCCCACATGTATCAGGAACCCTAAAGACCAACAGCTTTGGGTACAAAGGCTCAACAATGTTTTAGCAGTCACATTGCAAGTTTTCCATGATATAGGTATACTGGATTGTCTATTACAAGCAGCTTTCTGAACCACCTTCTAATAGGTTATTTCTTCTTATTATTTCAGCTACAAGTGTCAAGGGAAGAATGGAAAACTTAGAGTATATCCTTGCTCTTCTCGCAGGCTACAGGAGGAAAAAAACCCCAACCAACCAAATCACAAATTCATGACTAACAAAAAACCCAGAAGAATAAAAGCTGAAACAAGAGGTCACAATATTTGCCCTATTCTGTAAAGGGAAACATGATAACAATTTTTGCCATCTCTTACTTTACTATCAGAAACTATTCAAAACCCACAACGACTAA